CCACAATCGGCGAACAGTGCCTCAAATACCCCGACTCAAAACGTAGCGGGTTCGCAACTGCTCCCCAGCCATCATATCAAGGCAGTTAGGCCGAATATGCCGATTTTCCCACCGTTTAATAGACCTCTTGTTCCAATGGAAACAATGCGTCCCCCACCCCCTAACTTGTTTCCTCCACGGCCGTTTTACCAACTTATTCCTCATGATAATGTCCATACTGAATCAGTTAATTCATCCGATCCTCAGTTTCGTCCCGGCGGGAATACGTTGCAGTATCTGCCCCACGGATTTTCAGCTGAAAATAAGTTAGCTAACAATAGTTACCAGTTTACCTGCCCGTCATTCCCTCCCCCAAGTCCTCCCCTTTTTTATCCACGTCAGAATTTTTTGATGCCACAAAATTTTTTTGCAGAACCGGATGGTTGCATCCGGACCGTTTGCTCCGTGGGCGACCCAGAACTGGACGATGTAGCCCACCTCCCTCAAAAACTAACAGCCTTTCCCTTCAAACTCTTTGTTTTAAATGCCAGATCCTTGCTTAATAAGATGCCTTTGCTTCAGACTCAGGTGTTCGTCCATTGTCCTGATATTGTTTTAGTAACTGAGACATGGGAATGAGCCTCAGTAGCTGACTCCGAACTCTCTCTTTTAGGCTACAATTGCATTCGAAATGATCGCCAAGATAGCCGTGGTGGGGGCAGCTGCGTCTACGTTAAGCAAACACTTACATGTTTGCCGTTGGACCTCCCGCACTTTTCAGCGGTAGAAGGCAGCTGCTGGCTCCAGGTTGCACTAAAAAATAAGTTCTCCTTACTCGTTGGCTGCGTCTATCGCCCTCCCAACGCCAATGACAATTTTGATCGCTTACTCTCACAGGCATTTCATGCTGCGGCCGACTTAAGTTTTAAGTATCAACTGGTTGCGGGTGACTTTAATCTCCCTGAAGTCCGCTGGTCTCCACCTTCAGGCCCCAGAAGGTTCGATGACTTTCTTGAGGCTGTGGATGTCGGGATGTGGACTCAGGTTGTTGATTTTCCCACCCGAGGCTCAAGTATACTTGACTTAATTTTCTCTAGAGGCTGCTTGCCATCGTCAGTGTCATCCCTAGGCCCACTCGGGGGCTCAGACCATGACATAGTTGTTTCAACGTTGGAATTCGAGGCTGACGAAATGTCGTCCCAAAAGTATAACTTTTTCCGCGATTTCCGATCAACTCGCTCAACCGAATTATTAAGTAACCTTAATTCCTACGACTGGACTGAGTTCTTCCTTAGTTCGGATGTAAATGTTTGCACTGCAAAACTGTACGAAATTTTGGGTCCGCTTATTTCTCGTTTTGTCCCCCGTAAGAAAATTATTAATGTTGGGGATGAGATTTTCCTACCTTTACCCTTTCGTCGCAGATTGCGCAGGCTTTATCGTCGTATCCATCTGCAGAACGATGTTTCTGTTCTGCCCTTGATATGTGACATTTTTGATCGAGCTAAGAGATTGTCTGAAGAAAAACAGCTAGCCGAAGAGGTCCACTTTACTGAAAACCATTCGTTAAGTGTCTCGAAACTTTTCTCTAGAAAAATACGAACTCAGAAAAAGACGCAGTATCCCATCCTTCGAGACGATCTCGGAAATCCCATAGTTGATACCCAGTTAACCGCGGACGGCTTCAATGATTTCCTGTCCAAAACGTTTATTGAAGACTCGACCACTCCGCTTCCGACCATCCAGTCATTGACCGGGGCAGTTCTAGAAACTATAACTTTCACTCTGTGGGATGTGACTGTTGCGATTCGGCGTTTTCGTCAATCTTATAGTCCAGGCCCTGATGGTGTCCCAGTAAGCATTTTAAAAGCCGATGCAAACACGATCTTCCCATCCCTCTTATGCAAGATATTTAATCTTGCTCTTGAAAGTGAAACTTACCCTACCTTGTGGAAGGAATCGCACATTTTGCCCATTCCTAAGCACGGCAAATCTACATCATTTGATGACTTTCGGCCAATAAACACCCTCCCTGCAGTTTCGAAGATCTTAGAGACATTGATCAAGGATAAGATGATGTGTCACTTAACAGCGAACAACTTACTGAGTGTTGCTCAGCATGGATTCCTCAAAGCTCGATCTTGTGACACCTGTCAAATCTCTTTCTTTGACTATGTTTTCCAATCTAGGGACCATGGTTTTGCTCTTTACACAGTATATTTCGATTTCACTAAGGCTTTTGACCGTGTTGACCATGCTCTTCTCCTCTTGAAATTGTCATCTTTCGGAATAGGTGGCAAACTTTTGAATTTTATATCCTCTTATTTGGGCACTCGCACACAACGAGTTAAGATTTCCAATACCATCTCCAACCCCACACGTGTGAGGAGTGGAGTCATTCAGGGTAGTGTACTCGGCCCGCTTTTATTTTGCCTTTTCGTTAATGATGTACCCGATTTATTTCAGAATGGTAAGCCTTTCATGTATGCCGATGATCTTAAAGTTGCATATCGATATAGGCCGGCAGATCATGACATCGTGCTTGAGCTCCTAAAGAGCGATCTACAGGCTTTCGCCCAGTGGTGCCGCACATGGCGCCTTTCTCTTTCTTGGCATAAGTGCTCAGTCATGGTGGTTGGCGACGACCGCCAACCTCAACTAAGTATTGAAGGTCACGCAATAAATGTGCCAGGGGTTATAAGGGATTTGGGCGTATCATACTCCAAGAGTCTTAATCTCTCGGAGCACTGTGCCTTGATAGTCTCCAAAGCACGTAGAACGACCGGGTTTATCCTCCGAAATTTTAAAACTAGGGACATTAGAATGCGCCTTTTCAACATGTACGTTAGACCTGGTCTGGAATACTGTTCGTTTTCATTTAGCCTCATGCGTGCTACTGAGCGGAAGAAAATAGAATCCGTTCAACACTTTTTTACTAAGAAAATTTTAACCCCAGAACACCGACATTTGTCTTACNTTGACGTCCGATAATCTCCGATACCGTGCAACCTCCCCCCTTCTTGACGGTCGATATTCTACCACCGCCGACAGTTTTTTTCTCCTGAGCCCTCCAAACCACAAAAACCACCATCAACTATATTTTTATGCCTTAAGCTCAGTAGTTTTTTTTCACTGCTGGTCGGATTTGTGTTTAATCGCTTCCCTTGACAATGCCTGTAAACTGGCATTAAATTAAAATTTATTTAATTAATTTATTTATTTATAGTCCGATGCAGGAAGTGGAACATTTAAGTGTCACTATATCCGTAACGCTTTCAGTGGCGTACCGTTCGCCTAACTAGATTTCTGATCACGATCTCATTTTCATAAATGAACTCTAAAATCTCAGTAAGAAGAGGGTTATCCTTATTTTGGAGGATTTTAATGCTCCTTACATTGACTGGCAAACGTTGGCTGCACGGGCGTGCGGATAACTTAGCCACAATCTGCCATAATGGGCAGAAGACAACCTCCTCCGCCCGAACTTTGCCTTTGGAATACGGCAGGGAAAGGACTAAATTCAAACTGCCTTGACTTTTTTACCCCAGAGGAAGAAAATGTGCTCGACCTACAAGATCGATCGCCAATAGGATCAAACGATGACATACCGCGACACTTCGAGTAGTCGGTGTTTTCTAGACCAACCTTATCTGCTACGTAGGAGATAAACATTTGTAGGGGAGACTATCTACTTATTAGAAGAGAAGGATCAAACTAATCTCGAAAAATTAAACTGAATGGCGGAATAAATGACCGTTGGATGGCTTCCAGTTCGTTACCGAGGAGGATTATTGATCTTAAATGTCCACTCAGAAGGAAGATAACTACAGAATGGCCCGAGTAGATGTACTTTAATTTGAAGGCCTCCTTAAAAAAGGAATCACTTCTGGAGTCGTTACAGACGAACCGGCTCCGAAGAGCAATTACGGAATATAAGCAGTAGTGCTACATTTGTAAAAGAGAGAATTTTAAGCATCGAAGGAAATCCGAACCGAACCTCTCGCAACCTTCGTTAGAACGCCCTAAAATCCTATACGTATGCACGCAGAATACTAAAAGAAATCAGGATATGACGCTTGCCCTTTGGCCTGCAGACGGAACACTGGAGAACGATGGTCAAGTTAAAACTTTCCCCGCTTTCAAAATTTCTTTAACCCATCTTCACTTGAAAGCCTATTTTCGGCTCTTTTACCTGTTTGAAAACAACGTCCTCCCCTCCTTCATAGAGGAATTTGACTTGTTGTCGACCCTAGTTAGTGCCTAATTACTCCGATAGAATACTATCAGATCGCCAGGTCCCGACAGGAGTCCTGTGCAAGCACTTCGAGAACATGCCAGTGAACTGTGCGAACCACCGTTTATCATATTTCAAAAGTCTTTAAAGAAGGTAAACTTCCGGAAGAATGACAGCATACATCCCTCACCCCGATCTATAAGGGAGGTTCGCGACTTCACTGTGCAAATTACCGTCCTGTTAATCTAAGTTACATCGTGTATAAAATAATAGAGCCCCTTATCAAAGGACATTTAATAAGATAAAAGGAAGAAGACAAAATATTATGTGGTGTCTAACACGACTTTCATCAAAATCGTTCTTAGTTCACGAGTGCTCTTTAGTCGCATGAGAAATAAACAAGGATCACAGCTAGGGACTACCCAGTAGATGTCACATTTCTGACTTCGAAAAGGTCTTTGATGGCGTACTAAACAGGCTTTATTCATAGAAGATGTACAGTATAAGAATTCAATGAAGAATATTTTAATAAACCCGGAGTTTTCTGTTCTCCAGAGGATAGAGGGTCATTTTTGGCAATTATGCCTCAAAATGAGCTAAACCGGAAAGAGGTGTCCCGCAGAGCTCTGTTTTAGACTCAATACTTTTCCTGATTTATGTCAATGATTACATAAAGGAAGTAGACTGAGGTTCTCATGTCCGCAGACGACATAAAATATGCGTTGAAGTCAACTGTGTTAAAGACACAGATAATTTGCAATCGAACTTCGACAAACTGAGCGTTTGATCAAATGCCGTCCAAGTCTCCGCGCCACACAGAAGCGTCGGCAGGATGACCAATTTGCAGATTTTCAGTTTGGTGCTGATGTGATGATCGTATCGATTCCAAACTGCTTCGAAGACGGCCGAAGGTTTGGCTGGCTGTGAAAATCCGGCGGGCCAAGTCATCGTCGATCTCGGTGTTGCGATAGAGGGTGCTGCCTAGGTAGGTGAAGTTATCTACGACTTTCAGTTGGCCGCCGTTCGCGTTGATTTGGGGTGAAACGTAGGCAGCGTCGGGTGACCGTTGATGAATAAGCACCGTCTCCTCCGCGTTAATGACCAGACCAAAGCTGCCGTAGGCGGCAGCGAAGGGATCCATACTCCTTTGCATGTATTCTTTCGAGGTGACGTGGAGAGTGCTGTGGTCGGCGAAGAGAAGTTCATGGACGGAAGTTGCGGATACGCACGACTGGAAGTGCATCCGCCGCTGATTGAGGGGGTGGCCCTTCGTTCTTTAGGCGACGCGGATCTAGGAGCGTTCCTCACGGTGGGCGTTCTCCAACATGAGACTGAATAGGGTAGGCACGAGGACGCAGCCCTGCTTCACTCCGTTGGTCATTGCGAATGCCTCAGAGACGACCCCATTGTCCGTGGCTCGCGCCGTCGTGTCAACGTGGAGCTGACGCATCATCTGACTGAATCGCTCGAGACAGCCGAATTTCTGCATTATTTTCCACAATCCTTCGGGATTCACCGTATGGAAGGCTTTTCTCAAATCCACGAAGGCAGAGTGTAGATTGATTTGCATCTTCTGACACTTCGCCTGCAGTTGGCGGGCGGCGAAGGTAATGTCAGTGGTATCGTGACGACCGTGGAAGCCGCACTGGCTTTATGACAGGAAACCTTGTTCTAGATGGTGGTTTGGGCGGTTGAGAAGGATGCGGGTGAAGGTTTTCCCGGCAATGTTCAGCAGGGAGATGCAACGGCGGTTTTCACGCACTTGGCGATTCCCTTTCCGCTTGTAGAGGTGGAAAATGGTGGCGTTCTTGAAATCCTGCCACGGCTTCCCTTTTTTTATCAATATATATGAGGGATACAGGCAGAGCCTTGAAAAACCCTGTTTGCAGATAGACGTGTGAAAAATATGCGCATATTTACCTAACAGTTGTGTCTGTCAATGATATCGAGTAAGTGTTTGATCATCAAGCATAAATTTATCTGGTCTTTTTAAAGTTCTCAATGTTTTCCGCTAAGACAACGGAGTTCGGCAGTTTGTTCCATCCTTCAAACAGCTGATGGAAGAAGAATTTGGCCCGAACTTCAAGTTTAGAATATTTTATCTTCAATTTATATTGTTGGCCTCGAAGGTTGGTCTTTTGCGCCATTTCGAAGAAATCGTCAAACTGAAGAACACAGTCTAGCCCTCTGACGACTCCGAAAGCTATCATTACATCCCCTCTTTATTGTCTATAAGAGAGAGGAAATATTTTTAGCTTTTGCAGGCGTGTCTCATAAAGTAAGCTACTTTATCCGCCGATCAACTTGGTTGCTCTTCTTTGCACGTTCTCCAACAGAGTGTAATCTTGTTTCGTCCAGAGACACCATACCTGAACGCAATATTCCAACATTGGTCGAACAAATGTTCCGAATACGCAGCCGAAAAGCACTTTGTCAAAATTGAGGAAGGATCTTCAAGTCGCGCCTACGATACCCATAGCTTTCTTTGATACCTTGGCTCAGGGAGACGATGGTTTGAGAGTTGACGTCTACCACACACCGAGGTCTCTTAACTCGTTGACTGATTCGTGTTGGTAACCTCCTATAAAGTAGTGAGATTCAACTCCCAACGGTCTCCTGTTGCTAGATTGTAATCGGATAAGCTGGCATTTGCTAAGGTTGCGCTTAAGACACCACTCGGCACACCATTGTTGCAAGCGATTCAGATTGTTTTGTAACTGTAGACAGTCTTCCGGTTTTTCTATTGATTTCCACAATTTGAGATAATCGGCAAACATTACGCTCTCGCAGTTCAGAGAGTCCAGGCAGTCGTTCACATATATCACGAACAGAATTAGACCCAGACCATTCCCCTGCAGAACGCCACTGTGAACGGATGCTTATTCCGATTGAGCGTCATCGACACACCCAGAAACGCTGAGATCTGCCGTAAGAAAATCAGCCAACCATTTCAGAATATTTTCATTCACGCTCAAATGACGTAGTTTAAAAATAAGTCGTCTTTGTGGAACACTATCAAAGGCCTTTCTGAACTAAATGCACGCGGCGTCAACTGATAAACCACTTCGATTGATTTCGTCCAGCTCTCCATGGATGCTAGCAGGTTAGTAAAACAGGATACACCCTTTCTCAATCCATGCTGATGCAAACTGAGAAAGTTTTTTCTTCGAAATGCCGCATAACCTCCGTTTCTATTACCTTTTCCATCACTTTGCAAAAGATGCTTGTGAGACTCACTGGTCTGAAACTATTTAAGGTTGTTCTCTCACCACCATTGTATATGGGGCTTATATTTGCTTTTTTTCCAATCGGTAGGCAGAGCCCTGGCCTCCATCGAAGTGTTGAAGATCCTGGGTAATGGAGAAGCCAGTTAGCCTGAGAGTTCATTCAGGACTTTTGCGAGGACGCCGTCCGGACCAGGCAATTTAGTGGGCTGTAGTGGACTCAAAGTTTTCCCTACCGTGTCTCTTGTGAAGTCCACCGTGCTAATTATATTGTTTGATTTGACAATTTGGGGGTAAACTCTTTCATCAAAAGCCGGCTCCTCAGTATACACAGACGCGAAGAAATCGGACAACAGGCTTGCCTTGTCGGAATTATCAGACAACGTATTTCCCTGGCGATCTTTTAGACAGGGAATGCAGTCCCGATTACGTTTCGCCTAACTTATGCATCAGAAGAACATTTTTGGAATTTTGTGTGACATTTTTGAGTATCCATAATTCGAATTCTGTTCGTTCTGTCCTCAGAAGATTCCGACATATATTCCTCTGTTTTTTAAAGTCAGTAACATGCTCTGGCTGTTGACTTCTGGTGTACTTTTTCCGAAGTCTCCTTTTCAGTATAAGGTTCTTCTTTATTTCTGACGTCATCAACTCTAGTCGGGAAGTGCGCGGTTTCCTCTTAAGTGGGCAACAGCTCTATACCGCTCTTGAAGAAGAGCCATTCGCTTTCTCAGTTAGGTGCTTGTGCAGCATTCCATTCCACCTTCCGTAGCAGATTTTTCATGCTGCGATAATCCCCTTTCCATGCATTTCTTTCCTCAGCAGCTCGAATTTCGGGTGCGGAAGAATGACTATACGCCTAAACAAGAACCAGTGGTCATTTCGAACAAGGAGCGTGTGTGATTCCAATCCGAGAATGCAACGATCATCCTTAGTGATGATGTGGTCCAAACAACTGGACTGCTATCCATATCTGAATTGGGTGTCCATTTTAAATTGTTGGGTAGGGAAATCTCAAGCGTTCAGTTTAATAAATTTCTGTTCGAAGGAGTTTTCTGATCGCGTGCAAAGCACCAAAGCCCATTCGATATCTGGACAGCTGAAATCAACCAGGAAAATTATGTGTTTGTTTTGGAAATTTTTTTTTATCTCAGTGTTTAATGCATCGGCCGCATCTGTCCGCTGTCCCGGTGGTCTGTAAACCAGTGCCACGTGGAGGCTTGGATGGTTTGACAATTTCAAGTAACACGTGAGTATTTCACAATCAATGTTCCTTAATGGGGAAGGCTCAGGTTTGACCTAGTCGTTGCCATCTCGTATAAATATCGCAATTTCCCCACCCCTTCGTTCTTTTCGGTCCATTCGGGAAGCTGAAAACCACCTAGCATAACTTCCGCGCCCTTTATCTGCGCATTTAACCATGTTTCTGTTAAAGCTATCAAGTCGGGTTAGAAATGGGTCACGGTCAGTTTTATCTCGCGCAATTTGTTTAATAAAGTCTGCACATTTGTGTACACCACTTTTATAGTATTCGGTTGTTTAGATCTCCGGAAATTATTTGCTGGTGTTTTCGACTGATGGTTACTACTGGATACTTCACATGGCGCACCAAGTCCAATAGTCGATTTTAAATTTACTGAAGTTTCTTGGAACCGAACGCCGGTGCTTTTGTCGTCAATGTCACGGATGATTCCGCAAGAAAGAACGCTTTATTTTTATAATTTGTTTGTTTACTATATTCGTATATATGTATGTATGTATATTGAAGGGTTACAGGCAGAGCCCTTGATGACCCTATTTATGTACAGTGCTTTCGCAGATTCATAGTCAAAAATAAAATTAAATTGCAGGCATTTAAAATGTGATTGGGTCACAGTTCAATCATAATCATAAGGTAGCGCATGGGGTCTCTGTAAATTAGTGCGGAAGATTGTATATGACAGATTTTACAAAACTGGCTGTGCATAGTCATGCTGTACAAGCCGATTTCTGTCGAAAACTAGACGAGCAAGTTTTCTTTTAAACACACAAACTGTGCCAGCCGTCACCATCTCGCTTGGAAGCGAGTTCCACGGTCTGACAACCCGCTGGCTGAATGAAAATTTTCGTCGGTCTAAACGTGTTCGCTCATTCCCGACTTTGTATGCATGGCCGCGTAGTTGGTTTGTACGGGCGAACTCAAAGAAGTCCTCTGCTCTTAATGAGCAACCCTAGCCGCGAACAATCCGGAAGGTCCAGAGTAGACTGCAGTTTATTTGTCTATAAGAGAGAGGGAATAGGCCAAGGAAATTCAGCCTCTCCTGATAAGACAATTGTTTCAGACCGTCGACCATCTTTGTCGCTCTGCGTTGCACCTGTTCGAGTAAGTTGATATCCTTCCTCATCCATGGTGAGGCTGCTGGCATTCCATACTCTAGATGAGGTCTTACAAAGACACCAAAGAGTCTTTCGAAAAGTTCGGGAGGAAATATTTTAAATGCGCGTCTGATCCAGTGCAGAGTACTAGTTGCCTTCAGATCCACTTCTCCCTAGCTCTGACGTTTTCTCGGTTCCGCTTCCAGTGCCTCACCTTTATCCGTTCAATCGAGTGATAGTCCGGTTGAAAAAAGCACTCCAAGATGGTTGTTTCGAAGCCTGAACTTTCGCGACAAGATGAGATCTGCCTGCTGTTCGTTTCCCAATACGACTTTTAATGCTCTCGACCGCACTTCCTCTGCACTGTTTCTAACTAAAGGCCCCAAACGGAAGATCTTTTGGATTTCGACTATCTCACCGGGCTCTTGGGTGTCATACAGTAAGTTTTGGAATGTCAGCATATCGTGTTTTATCCTCTATTTTGGGGTGTCACCAGGAGCTTCAGGAACTCCATTCACTGCCACACAACGTGATCTCTCGGCAAAAAACTGGTGGTTGCATCCTTCCCTCTTTTGCTGGCGGTTGACTGAATCTTAGACTCTGAGACTGCCTTTGTGGCTGTATCCAGGTCTGTTAATAAGCTGCTCACGTCTGTGATATATGCTGTAACGTCTTTGTTTGGTTGCCTCACATGAATTCTTGAAGTAAAGTTTGATACACATGTGAAGGTCAAGCAGCTAGCGCTCTTTTGTGGCGTAGGTAAGTCCTTAAGATTAATGTCTATAATTTGTTTGGGGTTGTCAATTGTTGTCTTATTTTAATGTAGACGGACTCTGTATGATCCAGGTTTGCCAAATTTATGGAGATGAGAGAATCAGTTCCATCTCCGTCTGTCTTTTGTTTATTTCCCTCCATTTAGACTAAGGCGGAAGATTTTTCTACCAATTTCGTTCTCTGCGTCTTGTTTCGTCGAACGTGACGTCTGTAGCCTTTTCCTGGTTTCTTGAGATTCCTGTGGTCCGGCTCATTAAGGTTTTTCATGTCTTTTGTATAGTGTTCCGGGGGTTTAATTTTGGTATACTTGAGGAATGATGCTATTATTTCAGTGAGGAGATCAACGTCTACGTCTAGTTTCGAAAATTTGGTTGTGAGTTTTCGACATGCATCCCAGCTTGTCGGCATTTTAGCATTTAATTTATTTGACGCCGCATCTCTTGGAAGAACGCCGTTAGGCGTTCCATAAGTTAAAGCCGCCGTGTTTGTGGATTTCAGCAGGGATTGCGACCGGTCCGGGCGCTTTCCCGCTGGAAAGCTGTTGCACAGCCTCGATGTTTTCGTGTAGAGAAGGCTGGCTAGCTTTTGATCAAGTGCATTGCTGAAATGGAGATGGTGAGCAGGCAACTACGACAAGGCAATATTCAACTTACCTGGGGGTGCGTTTGTCTTGAGGTCCCCTGCAAGGCTGTAGGCTAGTTCTCATCTTGTAGGCGACAGGACAATTGCCGGTCCACCCATCGGCGCTCGGGAGCGCCTTTTTCACCAGCACGTCTCGCTGGTGTCGCCTCCGGACAAGGACATAGTCCAACAGGTGTCAATGTCGCGATCAAAGGTGCATCGAGGTCGCCTTCTCTCGCGTCGGTAGACGGAAGAACATATTGATCAGGATGAGACGTGTATATAATATATTTCCTTCTGAACTCTTTGGAGGACTTTGCGGAGTCTTTATAAGACCCAACCTGAAGTATGGGGTGCCGGGAGCTCCACGACGGATGAAGAAAGACATTGACCCACTGGAACAAGTGCAACGCACAGCGACAAAGATGGTCGATGGCTTAAAGCCCTTGTCATACCAGAAGAGGCTGAATGTGCCTAGTTTATGCCATCTATCTTATAGGCAACTAAATTGCAGCCTACTATGGACATTCCGGATTGTCCGAGGCCAAGGTTGTTTACTGAGAACGGAGGACTTTTTTGAGTCTGCCATTACAAGCCAAATACGCAATCATCCTTACAAAGTCAGGAGCGAACGCTCGAGGCTTACCGTAGGAAGTTCCCCGTCAGTCAAGGGGTTGTCCGAGCATGGAACTCGCTACCAAGTGAAATAGTGACGGCTGACACAATTTGCATGTTTAAAAAAGATTGCCTGCACATTTTTTGACAAAGACCGACTTTTAAAGCATGACTACTTACAGCCAATTTTGTAAAACAGTTTGTCATGCTTAATCCTTCCGTACGGACTTGCAGTGAACAGCTGCGCTTCCTTATTATTCTGTTTCCTCTAAATTACAGGCAACTGCGCATGTATCTCATTCAAACCTACAGGATTGTCAGAAGCCGTGAGTGTGCCCTAGACTTTGATGAATTCTTTGAATTTGCCCGGATAGATAGATAAATAGATAATTTTTATTAAAGACCCGTCGGGGTCCCATCAAAGCAAGTTAAAATAAATTTACATGCGAGTTTAAGACGAGGTAGGCAGAATCTTTACAAAATGCAATTCATAGTTTCTGAATCAGTAGTCCATTGAGAAACATGATAATTGAGGGGTGAAAAAAAACTCCTTAAAAAAGTTAAAAATGATTGGATTAATTTTACAGGAGAAAAAAACCCCTCAATAAAAATAATGACAGAAAAAAGCGAGCAGGACTGGCCTGTAGGTGGCGTTATATAACGGAATGTTTCCGGTCATCGTCAGGGTAGCAATAAATCTCAGCCTTGAGGGGTACGAATGTGGGTCAGACAGGACTGGCTTGCATGTGGCATTGTATACGGGATTCACAATTGAGATCGTCTGGGCCGGATTGATACGCCACATGAGAATATTCGCGTCAAAGAGGCCAGACGAGGGGAATCCAGATGCGATCGGCCACAGCACGCTTCGAGCTCAGCCGAGCAGTGGGGAAGGGAGGTACGACCGAACTACTAGTAGACAGTGAATACTGAGGGTTCCGCCGTGAGCGTCGACAGACCGCATGAGGTCGGAATGCGGGAGATGACATCAAAAACCGCGAAAATTGTCGCTATGGGGGGAAGGATAGCGATGGATTTAGAAACCAATTAAAAACAGGGGTTTCTAATGATATAATTAAGAGTTACCACTTAATCTACCACTAATTCCCAGGAGGACCCTTCTCGAAGTCAAGTATCAGAGTGTTCGGGAATGAGACCGTTAACAGTGCCTTTATGCTTTCCGGTGTAAGATGTTTGCGTAATTTCGACTTGAATAACAGTAACTTAGGCGATAGTCTAATTTCAGGCGGAAGATTATTCCGAAGGAAGGCATATTTGGAAGCAAAGAAGAGGGAGCGCTTAGATGTAGTACAAAGAGGCCGTCTGCGTGGTCATTCGTTCAAACTGCAAAGGAAGCGGGCTCATTCGGACGTCCACCGGAACGCCTTCTCTCACAGGGTCATCGGGGCATGGAATGGACTCCCTGATGCCGTCGTTCTTTCCGAACGTGTCAAATCCCTTAAGTGCAGACTAGACGCTCATTTGTTGAGAACCTACTCTACATATAATAATGATTGTTTTAGCGGCGGCAGTTTGAGCCTAGCTCACACTTACCGCTAACTTCTTAACTTTTCGTATTTGCCGATGTAATTGATGACTTTATTTCTGTTTATCTATATGAATAGGGAGCTCAAGGGCGAAAGCCTTATTCCCTTAATAAGCTGACTTAAACTGACTATGTTGTATTGTGAACCGAACGCATTTTAAATGCCTGCAACTTTATTTTGAGTGCGAATATGCAAAATCATTGTACATAAATAGGGTCGTCAGTCAGTCAGTCAGTGTATTTGAGGGAAATAGGCTTACGCCTTTGAACTCCCTATTTGTACATTAAAAAATCGTCAAGGGTTCTGTCTCTAATCTTTCAAATACAAATACAAAATGTAGAATTTGTTCTTCTCCTCGTCAGGGCTGGTCATCGGGAAGCGTAAACGCTGAAAATGGTGGCGAATTTGCCTCACCGGAGGGCAGGTGGAGATTCATCAGGCGGTCGTTGATGTCCCGCGACAAACAGGGCAGTCGTCCCACGGTGACTTTGTGGGTGGCAAAGTCGACGCTCGCGTCACGTCGCTCCGCATGACAGCGACCGCTCCAGAAGAAGGTGCAGTAAGCACCCACCTCATTTAGTCGGCCTTGTTCGGAGAACCGGGTCTCGCTGAGTGCCGCGATGTTCACCTTGTAGTTCGCCAGTTCCCGAGCCACCAGGGTTACCCTCCGTTCCGGTCGGGGCGAGAGTATTGATTCGACTGTGTGTCTTGCGTCTGAAAGCCACGGTCAGCACGCAGAGGGTGTGATCCCAGGATTTATTCAGGACATCTTTTCTAACCCATCCCCCTCGCGGGGCGAGCAGTGCTCTCCCTAAACAGGGCTGTTCAGTTGTCCCAGGCTGCTGCCGAGCTCTATTCTGAGTCGTGACATTGTTAAGGGAGAGAACCACCCGAGTTAGCCTGGGCTGCCTACGAGATCGCTTTCGCACTCGCCATTGGACTTTTTGGAGCGAGGGGAAGGCGGACGATGGAGGAAGTGCATAGAGACGGGAAGCAGAGTTTCCGTCCCTCTCTGAGCTAACTGGTTTTTAAAATACAGACGCTGAGCAGAAAAAGTCAACAGAACGATATCTGACTTAAAACAAGGACAAAAACAGACGAGCAGACAAGGGTGAGCAAGCAAAAACAAGCAAAAAGCAGAGGCGACAGAGCAATATTTGGCCTACCTACGGGGGGCGGGAGGCGGTAACTTACCTTGTGGCCTCAAGCGGGGTTGCGGACGAAGCGTTATCTGGGGGGTGGCGATGCGGTGATCCATGGGACGTTCGATCGTGGGGTAAGAGGGTAGAGTAGAGGAGAGGGTGGCGAGAGTAAGACGCAGAGAAGATGGACTCAGAATAGCTGCGGAGAAGAAGTATTGGGGTGGTCTTCCAGCCCCTGAGTCAGTAGTTTTCTGAGGGCGTGTGGCCTCCTACGGGGTGGCACACGGAGCCCAATCTCGGTGATGTCGTGGTAGTGATCCATCCGGCCCCCCGAAGGTGGGAGCAGAGCCGAGTTACAGTGTGTGAAGATGAACACACGGACATCCTCAGCAGGCTTAGCCCGCCTGTCGAGGTGGTTGTCGGAGTGTGGCCGCTAGGTAGAGCCAAGCTTCGGAAACCACATGTGAGAATTTGGTGTCGGCAAACAGACACTACGCGTAGTCTACACCTTCAAGCAAGTAACCGACCCGCTACGACCATCACGTGCACCCTCAACTGAACACCCCTACACCACCACGGAATATAATACTTGATGGTTTGCATCGTTTGCTAACAAGTCCTCGAAGTGAGGATGTAGATTTTCGGTCCAGACCTGGCTTTTTGACTAACTTCAATCAGGGTAGTTCCGTCACAAATCGCCTGGTCCGGATGGTTTATCCGCAAAAGTTCTCTATGAACTCGCAGACCAACTAGCCTCCCTACTCTCCAAGATCTTCGAAAGTACCATGGAAGTAGGAGCTCTGCCTACTGACCGGAAGCTAGCCAAAATCATTCCCATATATAAAGGGGGAGAAAGAACCTCGCCAAATAGCTTCAGTCCAGTGCGTCTCATAAGAATTTGTTGCAAATAATGGAAAAAATAGTGAAAAGAAAACTGATGAAACATATAAAGGAGAACAGTTTGCTTAGTGAGCATCAACATGGATTAAGAGGTGGTCGATCCTGTCTCACTAACCTTCTCGTATCCATGGAAAGCTGGACGAAATTCCTAGAGATGGGTTTGTCAGTTGATGAAGTTTACATAAACCTCTCAAGTAGTTGACCGACTTCGTCACAGCCGGACGTCATCGGGTGTACATTGGTGATGCCAAATCGGAGTGGGAAACCGTTCACAGCGGTGTGCCACAGAGGAGCGTCCTAGGTCTTATTCTGTTCCTGATATATGTGAACGATTGTCTAGACTGCCCAACCTGCGAGAATGTAATGTTCGCAGATGACTCGAAGATGTGGAATTCAACTGAAAAGCCAGAGGACGCGCCAAACACGCAGAACATCTTAGACCGACTGCAACAGTGGTGTGATGAATGGATTCTCAACCCCAATTTCAACAAATGTCAATTCATCCGACTAAGGTTTAGTTGCAGAAAGGATTTGGGATCTGAATATCACTATTTCCTTGGCAGTCACGAACTCGAGCTTGCAAATGAGGTAAAGGATCTTGGTGTGTGGATGACGTCCACTCTCTATCCCTCGTCTCACTGCTCCAAGATAGCAAAGAAGGCTGTGGGCATCCTAGGAGCGATCAGGAGACCTTACCTTAACTTCGACGAAGAGCATTTTGGTCGAAAGTTTAGAACATTTATCGGGCCGATCTTGGAATATGGCATTCAGGTATGGCGCCCATGGGTGAGGCAAGATTGCACTCTCTTGGAAAAGGTGCGACGAACAGCGACTTAACTAGTCAGTGGGCTGAGGAGCTTACCTTCAGAGGAACGGCTAGAAAGGCTCAAAGTTTTCCCTTTCTATTATAGGCAATACAGAGGGGACATGATCATGGCCTTCAAACTTGTCAGAAGGATAGGTTGCGTAATCAAACTGGCCAATTTTTGGAACTGGCACAAACGAAAAATCCCCGAGGTCACAGATATAAATTGAAGACGAAATACGCCAAGCTTGAAGTGCAGGTCGAATATTCCCTCCCACCGGGTGATTGGGGGGTTGAAACTAACTACCCGATTTAGTTGTTCTGGCGGAAAGCGTTGAGGCATTTAAACGAAGACTCGATGGCATTTTATATGATGTCCATGTATTTGCTTGATAAGAACTAGTAAAATGTACCCGTATATTTACGTAAACGTATGTACGTTTTCTCAGTCAATGTATGTAAATAGGGTTTTCAAAGGCTATGCTTATCTCCCTTATATATACTGAATTATAAGCAATTAACCGACCTACTACGACCATCACGTGGACCCACAACTGGACAGCCATACACCACCCCGGAATATAATGCGTGATGGTTCGCACCGTTTTCTCACAGGTCCTCGAAGTGCGGATGTAGATTTTCGTCCCGGACCTGGCTTTCTGACTAATTTCAGTCAGAGAAATTCCACCCCAAAGGAGAAAAAGATCCAGCCGGCCATAGTGACAGAAAGTCTCCGAAAAGGGCGGACGGAAAAAGAATAATGCACAGATGGTTTGACTTGAAAGTTTATTTTTGAGGGCAGGCTTGAGGTGTAATCCATCTGCCTGGAGTTAGCGGAAAACCAACCTCTGATGCTGTTCTTCGGAGGGCTCTGGCTGGAGTTCCCTCAGAGGACAGTGGAATATCTGGTGTGCGTCGCGTTTGCAAGCCCCAAATCCCGAGAATGGAAGCACTTCGAATGGTATATTTTCAACTGGTAATTTATTTCGACACACGTTTTCGACATTTTGTGACGACTAAACCTGCAAAAGCTCGAAGAACCAGAAATTTAAAACCAAATCCAAAGAGCTGAATCAGGTCTTCTGGTTCAACTTGAAACTCATAAGATCACTCGCACCTGAAACGACCGCATAATATATGTAGGGAGTGGTCGCGGACTGCAGTAGTCGATGTCGATTTCGTCAGCCCGACTGAATTTCTTCTTCACGAAGACAAACTGTCACTGCAACATGACCTCCAAAGGTGGTCACAGAACACTCAAAGGTCAGTCACGATATTCTCCTGATGAAATCTCTGTTCGGTGACGCCCACAAGCCCTCGTTTTTGCTAAACTTGTTCGCCCCCCTTCTCTGCGACGCGTGGATTAACGCAAGGACAGTTATACCTCATGGTTTTCGTTGCATAACAAGTATTGCGCTAGTAGTTTATTTTCTTTACTTTACATTCCCTATGTACTGGATTCTTGTTCTTCGATTAATTTTGCGTTTGAACTGCTGACGCCAACGTTATAATGTTTTTTTGGTTGGGAGCCGTTTATTTCCCGTCTACGCCACCCTAACCCATTTCGACGTTTCTGTTTAGAAATCTGCCGTATCTTTTGGGTTTGCTGCCCGTTTAGAGCTTGCAAAAACAATAGACGGACGT